TTCCCAGGTGGAGGACCGGGACCACGCCAGGATGTGGGACGAGAGCCTGCACGACGCGGCGCTGGTGGGGGACGCCGCGCGGGACAGCGGTGCCGCCCCAACGGGGGGGCGCCGCGCCCGGGGGGGGGGGGTGACGCCGCGCGCCTCCTCCTGCTCCTCCTTCTCCACCTCCTGCTCCTCCTGGTCCTCCTGCTCCTCCTGCTCCTCCCTCCTCCTCGCCTCCTCTCCTCTTCCTCCTCCCCCCTCTTCCCCAGGCGCGCGCACGGCGCGGTGCCCAGCCTGATGAAGCCTTCGGATTGGTTTCGGGGGGTGGGGGGCCCTGTCGGCGGGGCCCGTCCGAGGTGGATCGCAGCCCCGGGCGGACAACCAACACTCTCCTCGGATGGGCGCCTTACCTTAGTTTTCCTTCTCCTCTCTCCCCTTGGCTCCTCCCTGTATGGGCGTTGAGCCTCCCTCCTCCCCTCCCTCTCATTGGGCTCTGAGAAGAGGAGCGCGCGCCTCGTCATCATCGTCGTCGTCGCCGCCGCCACCGCCGCCGCCGCAGCCGCAGCCGCCGTCGTCGTCGTCGTCGTCGTCGTCGTCGTCGTCGTCGTCGTCGCTGCCGCCGCCGCTGCTGCCGCCGCCGTTTCTGCCGCCGCCGCCGCTGCCGCTGCCGCTGCTGCCGCCGCTGGCGACATGTTGTTGTTTTTTTGTTTTGGGGCGAGGGCGTTTGTGGTGACCCTCGTCGCCATGGGAGGACGCGGCTCTAAGGCCTGGCCAGCACGGGCCCCGGGAGGGACCTGCGGACCGGAGTCGGAGCGATTTTTTAGGCCCCTCGCCAATGAGAAACGGGCCACTGGATTGTTTCTGGCGCTTCGGGGTCCCCCTTGACTGGCGCAAAACGGCTCGGAACTGACAGCTGGCCCAAAGGAGATCCCTGCCAGGGGTCGAGGACCCGTCTCCACCTCTCTTTCTCCTCTTGACTTCCCTTGCGCGCGCAATATATTAGGGTGTGCCTTCGGCTAATTATTGTGACCTTTGGGGGAACTTACAGGGGGCGTCGAGTTGCAGCCCAGGTGTTCGGTGCGGCATGCTGTTTCAATGTCACGACGTTGGTGCAGAGTTCTCTTGTGACGCTGTCGTCGCTCCCCCTTTTCCGATTCTCGCTTGTCTTTTCCCCAGTGGTATCAGCATTTGTGCCCTCTGTCCTGCTCTCCCTCCTCCATTGGGAAAATCTCTACCGATTATAGCGTGGTTCCCAAACAATGCATTTCTAAGAAACTGGGCAGATGTGCTTGTCTGGCGGCTATGTAGCCGCCGTCGCCACCCTGTCACCGCCTCGTCGCCGCCTCGTCGCCGCCCGTCGTCTGGGCTGGCGTGCCGCTCTGGCGACTATGTTGCCGCCGTCGCTGCCCCGTCGCCGCCTCGTCGCCGCCCGTCGCCGCCGTTGGATAGCACACCGTAGATTGCACCACAGAGATTGCACGACATAGATTGCACAGCATAGATTGCACAACACATATCGTGCACTTTAGACTGCACAGTATATATGTACATACATATGAATTGTACCATCTACATTGCACAACGTAGTTTGAACATTATAGTTTGCACAGTAAATATTTCACCACATATTGTACCACTTACAGTGCCCAACATAGACTGTACTACGTAAAGCGCATCACATATATTGCAACACATATATTGCTCCACATAAGTTGCACAACGTAGTTGACACCATACATGCTGCACCGCATACTGACCACATGCATTTCGCAACATCTGTTGCACAACCTATGCTGCACCACATGTATTGCACAGCATCGTTTGCACAACGTAAGTTGCACTGCATATGCTACACAACATTGATGGTACCACGCACATTGCTCAACATAAGCTGCACAGCATGGACGGCACCACATACTTTGCACCGCACACATTGCATCACCTATATATGTATATGTATAGATATATATATATATATATACACATATATATATTTATATATACACATACATATATTACATATATATACACATCTATACATATGTATATATCGGAGTAGGCCGGGGGAGGGCCCACAACTGCGACCTCTGGTTCGCATGACGGGCCGAAATGGCCTTGAGGGCTCCAAGAGGGTTCAGAAGGGACCCTGGACCTCCCCAGAGGCTCCCAAGCTGGCCCCAGAGGCGCCCAAAGCGCCCCAGGTTGTCTGGAAGGTGGCTGAAGAGCGCACTAAGATGGCTTCCGGACGGGCCACGAGCGCTCGAAGACAGCCCAAGATTGCTCCTAGACGGCCACAAAGGCACTCAAGACGGTCCAAGAGGCCGCCGAGAAGGCCCTCCAAGGGCAAGCATCAAGCATTTCCTTTGGAAAAACGTATATTTCCTGGATAGTAGACATTGCAATCAGTCCTGCCAGCGGCCGCGACGGCCCCAGAGTCTCCCAAAATGAGCCCCGGACGGCCCAGGCCCCCAAGAGGGCCCCCAAGCGGCCTGAAGAGAGCTTCCAGCAGCACAAGAGAGCTCCAACATGGCCCAAGAGAGTCGGAGAGGGCTCACCGAGGGCCCCAAGACGGGCTCAGGTCCCCATGATGACGGGCGAAGAAGGACCCGGAAGGGCCGAACTGGGCTCCCATGAGGGTCCCAAAAAGTCCTGCCAGGACTCCCTGAAGACGGTCCAGGAGGCTGCTGAGAAGGCTCCCGGGTGCAAAAAACGAGCATTTCCCCTCCTGGAAAAACGTACATTTCTATGATACTCGCTTCTTATGTTCCAGGCAGCCTCAAGAGAGCGTCGAGCAGCACAAGAGAGCTCCAAAGACAGCCCGAGAGAGTCCCCAGGGGGCCCGAGGGAGCCACCAGAGGATCCCTACATGGTCGGAGAGGGCTCCATGAGGGCCCCAAGACGGCTCAGCTACCCATGACATGCCAAGAGGGGCTTGGGACAGCCGAAGTGCGCTCCCAGACGGGCCACAACAGGCCCAGTAGGACCACCCCACGACTGTCCAAGAGGCCGCTGAGACGGCCCTCCAAGGGCGCAAAATCCCAGCATTGCCTTTCGGAAAAACGTATATTTCTAGGAGCTTCGCTTTTCAGTTCTACCAGCGGTCGCGACGGCCCAAGTGGTTACCAAAATGGGCCCCACTTGGATCGTGGCCCTGGTTGCTAAGTACATAGCGAATTTATATATGCTTATATGTAAGCAATATGTAATGTATGAGTTATGTAGGAGTTACGTATATGTATGTATATGCGCCGTATGTACATACATGTTCTGGCTATGTGGATGGCGATGTTACTTATGTTGATTATCCAGCTTTGAAGTTACTAATGAGCTTATCGCTAACATGCTTAAGCTTGTTGGGGTGGTTACGTATGCAGGTTAGCCGACTTAGGCTATCCAACTTAGTGAACTTAGTAAGTCAAGATATATCCAGGATACAACCTGGTTATTTCCAGGATGCAAGCAGGATGGAAACACGATATGTAAGTTCACTTTGCTTTTCTCCCACCGAAGCCGTTTCGGCTCGACCCTCTTCTGTGCGAGGATATGGAGATTGATCCTGAGATCCGTCAGGTGCTAGATACACTTGTGCCTTCGATCAATGCAGTGATTTCAGACGCCACTCACGGTGAGAGAAAACAATGTAGGGCGATTGCAGATCAAGTATGTGACAAATTGCTTAGTAATGGTTTGGCGTATTGGCAAACGGTGTGTCACGAACATGTATGGGCTCACCCTCAAAATCGATGGACGACTGGAGTAGATGTGCCTCACTGCCATGCGTTGATCAAGAAAATAATGAGACAAGGGTTCTTGGACAGCGAAGTCAAACACCTTCGGTGCTTCGAGCGGGCCCCAGGTGCAACTGGTCTGCAGCAGCTTGAGTTCAATAAGAAATTACACGACAGGGCCGAGGGTTATCTCCCGCCAGCGCCGAAAAACCATGATATGAAGTTCCTCGCAGTGGCATGCAGCCACACTATGTACGGCCTCAAATGCATCAAGGCTGGTTGCAAAACCGACGTTGTGGATATAGCGCTGGACGGGCATATTTCAGAAGAGCGGATCGTTTCTATTTGTGAGAGTTATTCGGTTCCCTTGCAACGTGGAATAACATTTCTTGTGATCAAATGGGAGGTCGACTCAGCGATCCCAGCACTCGCGACGTTCCTTCAGATGTGTGGGAACGCAGGGCACGGTACGGAGAATGAGTTAACACAGGCGGCAACTCTGCTTCAAATCGATGGTATGGTTCGTGCGTCAATTCAGGCTGGGGTGGTGGCTTGAACCCCGACCACTCCACGCGGCGATCGGGTTTCGGTGAATACGCACATGTATAATTCTGCATACATATATATATATATACATGTGTGAAACTCGGTGGTCGGAGGGCCGCGCGCATCTGATGCTCGTGGAAGGGGCATGGGTTCAAAGCACCACCCAAGGATGGAAGTTCAGATGTTGATGTGGACAGCGTGGTGAACCTCATAGAATTCACCAGGCCAGCCTTGGAAGGCCAAGTTCGATCTATGACAATGTTCGTATGTAAACTCCGCGGTGAAGATGGAAACCACATACGCGACCTAGAGCTCTACTACAGCACCCTGAAAGTTCGGAGAGTTGTGTCGCACAAGCTGTTTGAGATGATAGCTGGTGTATCTTGGGTACAGGGTCAATCTTACCTAGTTGCGATGGTGAAGGCGTTGTGGGCAGCCCCAGAATCATTCGTCAGAGACGGCTTCTCCCGCATGTCGAACTCAACTGATCTGTCAGCTGTGGTTGGCTCAAAAAAATCTGCGTGCACCACTGCTGTGAAGTGGTTTGATGGCATTTGGAAGTGGTTCGAGACGCGCGCTCCATCTTTCACCCCAGCTCAGAGGGCGCGGCTTCTCGGCAATTTTGAAGTCAAGTGTATTATGATTATTCATGGCAAATCCCCGAAGGGCAAGCAGGCCTGTACATTCGATAGCATCCAGCAGGAGTTCCTCACCGAGTGCTTCAAGCTTGGCAGCGATTTAAAGATGAAGGAGCTCCCGAACAAGTGGACGTACGTTGACGTCGCGACTGAGATCCAGCAAGCATCGAGCCAACCATCGGGCCTGGTTCA